AATAATAATAATGATAATGATAATAATGACAATATTAATGATAATGATCATAATGGCAATATTAATGATAATAATAATAATGACAAGATTAATGATAATGATAATAATAATGGCAATATTAATGATAATGATGATAATTATCATTATAAATTATTATTAACATCCATATAACCTATTGAGCCCAAAAGTGAAAATGACATTTTCCTAAGAGTATTCTGACTGTTGTTAATGGTAAGAACTCTTAAGGCGTCTTCTGTGAGTGTAAAAAAAGTTACCTCCGGAGTAAAGTTAATGCAAGATGCAAGACACACTGCCAGGCGCATGAGTCAATGTAATTATCAGTAAATTTGCTGTTTTACATGAAAAAGCGGGTATCTGTGTAATGGTAATTAGCTTCCACCTTCTACAAGTTTCATATTATTCGCTAATGTCGATATGTGTATACTCATATAAAGATATGAATATACACATATACGCTAGTATTATATCATGCCGATATATATCTGTCAGTACAAATAAAAGTATATAAATAGCCTCAAACAGCCTGTACATTTTATAGACAACCGAAATGAAGGTGTCAAATGAGACACTGGTAATTTATAGTTATACACGCGGTAGTTTTCTCTAAGAGCTCTTTCTTATGTTTGATCGCTGTTTATTTGATTTATTTATTGCATAAATTGGGAATGTTTCTCCAACCTGGAAATAACGTTGCCTTTTCTGTCTGTAAACTCTGGAATTCTCTGTGGGATTTTCTTTTGTTTTTCTTTTTCAATATTAAGAATTATATCTGCAATGTGAATATCCAACAAATTAAAATTTATATTGATGAATTTTCATATATATCTTTGACATGAAAATGTTAGAATTTGTTTCATCATTGCTTAATATAAATATTAATGGCAACTCAACTCCATCTTTTCTATGGAGTTGATGACGTCATGATGCATCAATACAAGATTGGTGGGATTAAGTAGCTTGTTCTGCGCATGTGTAGGATTAAGATTTGAGCTCAAACGTAAAGTCTGGTCCAGAGGGAAATTAAATTTAATCCTGGACGCTGCCATTCCTCGTGGGTATTAGAGATCTGGCTTAAACTTTAATACTGGATTAACTTTTATGGCGCGTGAAGAAGACGCCCTTAGTTATTATAAATAAAAGAGGGGAAATTCTACAATTGATTATGTATCTAGATATATCTGATATCAGACAGTACACTCTTGTTGGCTAAATGTGGTGTCATTTGGTCCGACTCATTTTGACCCCAACAATTTGTGCGATATTATATGGAACATGTTATTTCATTGCATTTTCTTTGAATATAGTTCAGTAATAACAGTGTTAAAAAATATAAAAAACGGAACCCCCCCAAAAAAAAAATATATATTTGCAATGAATAGAGGATTTTCATAATATCGATGATACTAATACTAATTCTAGTCTTAACAGAAAAAAAAAACTAAATAACAAGTAATAATAATGATGATGATAATAATAGAAATAATGATAAAAAATAAGAGTAACAATAACAATGATAATGTTTATGCTACTACAACTACCATTATACTACTGCTATTAGCATTTCTTCTAATATTAATGATAATAATAATAATTATGATAAAAATAATAAAAATAATAGCAGTAGCAGCAGTAATAATAACAATTGCAATAGCAATAACAATAATAATGAGATATAGCTATATATCTTTTATGTAAAAATAAACAACTGGAGGAAATTCTCACGTGTTGGTAATACCATTATTTGCATTGAGTAGAATTACATATATATAGATTATATATATATATATATATATATATATATATATATATATATATATATATATATATGCACATAAATAGACACATATATTTAAAGAATTGCAAAACCCTAGTTTCATGTCATAATCATTGTTTTCAAAGTTTTTAACAAAATTTTCTTTTTACATCATATACTAAAATAAATCAGACATTGTTTTACACTTATACAATCCCCCCATTTAATGTTTACTCCATACTCATAGTTCTTGTTTACTTTATGCATATGACACTATATTTCAGGATTTATAATATACTAATAACATTTCACACCATGAAACATATTTATATATTTCACATAATTTAAACAGTCCATCCCGTTAACTATATACAACATACTCTATATTCTTAAAAGATGATCATAAAAGTTCAAAATTCACACCATAAACTGAATTTCCATATCCCACATTAACCCATTGCCGCCGGGGAAAATGAACAAAAAATGGGGGAAATGCAGTACTCATTTTTTTATATTTTTGTGAAATATCTCTGTCCATAGATGGCTCTGCTAGTCCTGATTTCACCTTTCCTTGAATTGGCGGGAAAAAACGTATTTTTACTAGTGCTGTAAATATAGATGGTGTTATTTTTAACAGCAAATTAGGATGACGTTCAATATTTTCGTAAATCGATGAATAGGGTGAACGGGCGAGACAGGCAGTATTGTAATTGGCTCATTGGATAC